GCAACCATCCTAAAACCAGGATGAAATCTAACAGATCAATAACATAACAACCATCCTAAACCAGGATGTAAATCATAAAGGGACGACCTTGGTACCGTAGACCCTGTTGATATAGTGAGGAGAACTCACCTAGCACTGCTGAAGTCCCGCAGATAAAACTCCAGCTGTTGGTTGACAGATTCCCGAACTGTCAACATCAAACAATACCCAATTAATAATTGGGTTCCAAGCCCAAAGTCCAACTCACACTCCAAAGGCCCAAAAGTCAAGTAATGGGCCAAAGCCCAACATATGGCCCAATTTTCCAAATTAGGCCCAGACCTCTACATGGTCTTTCCTTAAGGCCCATCCATTAATTCTAGTCCAAACTCTTGGTATTCCAATGGCCCAATATCTCATAATCATCAAGGCCCAGTTATGGCCCACCTATGGCCCAATTTTCCAAATTGGGCCCAAGTCCTTCACATGGGACTTATCCTAAAGCCCATCTAATTATTTTGGTCTATTTACTTGTTCTTGGATAGCCCATCAGTAGCCCAATCACCAAAGTCCAATAGAAAGGCCCAACTCAAGGCCCAAGTGAAATTAGGGTTTTCACATGAAATGAAGATTAAGGTTAAGTGCGAATAATTATTAATTAATATTTTAAGTTTACTAATTAATTCCAGTGTGGGTCCCGATCAATCCCCAAAATTAGGGTTTTATGCCATTAGGGTTTTCCAAACCCTAATTAGGGTTTCCAACCCAATACTAGCCCGTTAGTCACATGGTTGGGCTTTTAGGTCAATTAGGGCTTCATTGGGCCCATTAGGGTCTCTTTGGGCCCACTAGGGTTTCATTAGGCTCATTCTGTCCAAGCATCCCAAACGAGTCAAAACGCAAACGAGGCACACCGCCACCCAACACGGCGGCTGGTGGCGGCAGCCACCACCTCACGGTGGTGGTTACGGGTTTTTCTTTGATTATTCCCACATGATTACAACTTTACAACAATACTCAAACACACACACTCACATAAAATAATACACACACACACAGCCGCACTGTGGCGGCAAGCGGTGGTCAGAAGGTGTTAGCCACCACCTCATGGTGGTGGAGGTGGCCCTCTTGTGATTTCTGGCCAAGAAACCACACCCTCACATGCTCTTCTGTTGCGAGATAAACCCAGCCACCCACCTCGTGGCGATGGTGACACAAGAAGTCTGGCAGCAGCGGCGGTCGATGGCAGCAGCTCAGTTATCGGCGGCAACCACCATGGCTGACTGCCATGGTGGTTCTTCACAACCAACGCTCATCAGAAAACGCACACAACTTTTCTACAGTTACACCCACATTAGCTTCGTGATTCCATGAACCCAACCACCATTCCACGGTGGCATGCGGCGGCCGAGGGCGTCAGCCTCCAAACGTAGTGGTGAGGCAGCCATCGGGAGGGAAAAGAAGAGGAAAGAAGGTGGTTTGAACCCACCAAGTACAGCAGCAACGGCGGCGGTGAAGAGGCGCCTACTCGAGTCCCCGTCGGCAGCTCCGTCATCAACAGCCATGATAGCAAGCTTCGTCGGCATCCATGGAAAGAGGTGGCGGGGAAAACCGGAGTGCAGTTCATAAGCGACGACGACAGCAACGCATGTGGCTTCGCTTTCTCGGCGTCAGGATGGATGCAAGGGGGTTGCTCCGGTGGTTTGGGATCTCAACCGAGGTGGTGGCGGCCGGAAGTTAGGAGAGTGGCGGCTGCACATAAGGTTTAGGGTTAGGGTTTTGGACGTTGCTTATGAAACAGTTAACTACCGTCTCCTTCAAACTTTCCCCATAATGACACCTTTAGTCTTCCCTATCCTTCTTCTTTCAATTTCGATCCAGAAATTACCATTTCTACCCTGCCTTCTAAAATCCTTACAAAATAAGTCCGATATTTACTCTTTAACCTCTGCTTCCATAATATCTTTTATATTAAGCCCAAATGATACCAAACACCCCCTGACTTCTAAAATCCTTTGCAAAATAAATCCCGAAATTACACTTTAACCCCCGGAGATTCAGATATCGTCATTTGGCTTCCTGAAACCAACACCCTGCTAATTATTATTTGCTTTTGGCTATAAAATAATAATAATATTACATCTCAGGGTTTCGACTTTATTATTTAATCATTCTATTTTAAACGGGATGTTACAGTAGGGGTCCAGGCGAAGACGTGCTTGTATTTCTTTAGGAGGTCGATCGCTTGTCGATGGAGGAAGGATGTTCCCTATGTTGACCGGCTGATCCAGGTATTCTCTGTTGATGATCTCATTTCCGCTGATTGGCTCTACCCGTGACCTTTTAGTTTCATGTGTGATTTCTTTCAGTTGAATGATCTCATAGCATCGCAATTCTTTTGGCAGCGTTGCCAGGATTGTCCCCGGTCCTTTTGTTGTGTTGAATTTTACTACTCCATGAAATGTTGACGAGATTGCTCTGAATTTGAGTAGGTTCGTTCGCTCAAGGATAATGTTGTGCTCCGTTGGATGCCTGATTACAACGAAGTCTATGAGGGTTGTCTTCCTCTTTGTCTTGTCGTAGTTGGTCAACATGAACAGTAGGTGGATCGTGCTTAGGGGCCATAGGTTGTGTCCTGTGAAACCTATCAATTGTCCCGTTACAAGTTTGAGGTTCCCCTTCCACCTATCCAGAAGGAGACGGAATCAATGTTCATAGATAATATATGTTGAACTTCTGGTGTCTATGTACACCCGGTGGATAGTGATGTCTCTAATGGATCCCTGAATTATGAGCGGATCGTCTCCTCGCCAGCCTATAGGCCGTGGGTCTTTTGCCGAGAATGTTAAGCCTTGCATGGATTTTGCGAGGTTTTTTACCCCGCTACATTCTTCTTGCCTCCCTCTTTTGGATTTGATCATCATGATCTCTTGGGGTTGGTCATGCGCCTTTGCCGTGTCCTTAGCATTTTCGGCATCGAACTTGGCGTGGAGGCTCCGTGTTCTATCAGGTTCCCATTTAGTTGTTTCTCCTCCATTTCACTTTTTAGTACTGAACATTTGATAGTGTCGTGTGTCTTACTCTTATGGTATTCACAGTATCGTCCTTTTGCTCCTCTTGTAGGTTGCCTGTCATAGACTGCGTAGACATCTGGTCGTCTGCCTCTCCTATCGTCTCTTTGAAATGGCCTACAACGTCCTTGCGGGCATTTCCCACGCCCAAAGTGCCTGCCGCCGCCAGGAGTTTCCTGGTGGTGTGGCGGTGGGTTGTGGTGCTTTGTGGCTGAGGCGGTCATGGCGTTCAAGTACGCTTGTTTGATTGTTTCTCCTTCTTCTTGTCTTAGGTATCGCTCCACCTTTTCTTTTAGTTCGGCATGCGTTTGGGGCTTCTTTCCCATGAGCTTCTGGGACAGTGGTCCCGGGAGGAGGCCCCATGTGAAGGCTCCTGCTATTAGTCCTTCATCGTGTCCTTGGACGTCTAATGTAGCATTAGTGAACCTGGTGAAGTACTCCTGCACTATCACTCCTTCATTTTTGCTTGCAGCCAATGATTGAGTGTGAATATCCTTTGTACTTACGTAGTTGCATGAAATTCGTCAAGAAAAAGTACTTTAGCTAGCCGAAATTGTAAATGATCCCATGACGCGGCGTTTTAAACCACGTTCCCGCGTTGCCGTCTAAGGTTGTCGGGAAATACGTACACCAAAATCGTTCGTCCAACTTTAATAAAGTTATTGTCCATTTGTATGTGTCGATGTGACTATCGGGATCTGTGGTTCCATTCTAGGTCTTAAGGTGTGGCAATTTTGTTGTATTTGGGATTTCATAGTCTAGAAGTTCCTTAGCGAATGAAGATGTCACATTTCTCGACAAACAATCTTGGTTTGGGATTGGGAAGATGCCATGGGGGTTGGACTGTTGAGCAGTGAGGTACGGCTATACCAACATGTTGTTGTATGCTGAGAGGTGTCTTGGTGTTGGAACATAAAAGCTCTGATGTTGGAATGGGAAAATCGGTGGTTGGTTGCTAGGAGTGGCGGGTTTGGTGCGAACAGGTGGTTTGATATGAACGGCGAGTGTTGTGGGATTGTTGTGTTGAATGGTATGTTTATTACGAATGAGGGTGTTTGGAAGGCTGTCGTTTGTTCTCTTGTCATCTGGTTTAGCAAAGGTGCTTGTGAAAAGGTGGGCATACCGCTAGCGTTGTCTACCATTCGTGGTGTCGTGCTACTCGATATCGTTGTCAGTTGTTGGCTATTCGATGGATCATTTTGTGTCAATGCGGTGGAAGAGGACGTCAAACCTTCGGTGACAGGCCTCCATAGTTTGCTTATCGAAGCGCTGGTTATTGTCAAGCCGCCTTGTTGTGGTGCTTCACCGGCGATCGTTGTTAGCCGATGAGGTGTGAATGTGGGAGTGACGATTGGTTCCAACGACATCATGGATCTGATGGGGCTCATCGGTGTTCCACTAACTCCACCATTGTTTCCGGTTGTCATCTTCAGGTGTTGTGAGGTGTGCTTTTGGTTTGTTGTTCGTCACACACCGGATGGCGCCAAATTATGTGACCTCATCTCCGGGCGACATTCTTCACTAGCTATGATTACTCCGGTGAACCTGCAAGGCCACAGCAGGGAAGAACTGTCAGTCGTTCTATGGGAGGGTGGTCCAGGGAAAACGCTCTGACGGTCAAGTCAGTGGATAGACTTGAATTGTTTTGGGATTAAATTAGAGAGAGCGACTTACCTTTCTGGGCATTAGAGGAGGCCTTTTATACTAAGGCCTCCTGACAGTCTATAGGAGACAAGGGCATCACACCCAACAGGATCGAGCACGCTGATTGGGAAATCGGGATCCTCGTTTTGTTAGAGCTAACGATTGGTTCAGGTGGTAATGTGTTGAGCATCCCCATTGTCATCTGGAGATGTCATGCTTTGTCGCAGAGTAGAAGGCGCCCCTGGCGGGCCCAAGCCTTCTCTGCGGGCGCTCGCAGACGCGAGGTTCTGTCGGGCTTGCTCTATTATGCATGGGTCTGCCTTGGGGGAGTTCTCTGGAAGAAATTTTCAAAATATGATGCTAGTACATAAAGCCATAGTGAAAACTTTGGTTTCGCAGAATAAGCGATTGCTTGAGGAGAATGAGAAGTTTGTGAAAGAGAATGTTATGAAGATGGAGGCAACTTTTCGAGAAGTGAAAGATTTGAAGACTTTGATTTTGAATGATAACTCGGTTCACAATGCAAATTTTACTTCTTATATAAACACTTTGGTTGCACATTACGACACTGAAGCACATATGGTTGATGAGATCTAGAGAAGAAAAGTGAAAATCAATTCACTAAAACAAGAACTTTCTCGAGTCAAACTTGATCTAGAAAAGAAAGATGATGAGATCTTGTTAGTGCAGGGCCAGAACTTTGAAATTAATCAAAGGGTTGTGCGCATTGTTGAAGAAAAGGATGCTCCACATGTTGACTACATGTCACAGATGCTTAATCAGAAGCTTTAACCCCTGCTTTCGCAGTTGCCTATATCTGATGTTGTGAGTAGTGGTTCTACTTCACAACAAGGGGGAGAAAGGGTTTGTATTGCCAATCCATATTTTGTTCCAAAAATGGTTAAGAAACATGTTACTGCTAACAAGATTGCCCTAGGCTATCCGAAGATGAAGAAGATATTAGAAGGTGTTGTTCCGTCTATACCTTCAGGGTCAAATTCTGCTCTTACAATCTTTACTCCACCAGAAGTTGATCCTAATGACGAAGAAGCAAAAAGGAAGAATGATGAGGAGGTTGAAGGATTGAAATAATTGTAGATTGAATTGGATCAAATGGAGGCAAAGCAAAGAGAAAAAGAAATTATGGACTTAACTTGGAATGCATTATGGCCAAAATGGACCGTTGAACGTATGATGGATGAAGCGATAAAGAAGGCTCAATAGATATCGGCTTAATCTGAGATCTTTTATTATTGATAACAAAGTAGATTGCCGGTTGGACTTCCTGATGATAGCTAAAGCTTTTTTGTTTAGAAGCTTTCAGAACACATATAGGGTTGCTATGAACAATGGTGCAATGAACAGAAAACTTTTTGAGTTTTATGCGTCGCAATCTAGACCTCAATACAAGGTTTGGAGTTTGAAGAAGATATCAGTTGTTTGCGAGTGTGAAGCTGAAACTATGAATGATGAATTTTTGAATCATAAATTCAAAGTGTTAAGGGGAAGTGACAACCAAGATTGTGCATTTTCTTTTGCTGATCTACCACAGTTGAATCCATATGATTGGTTCATATTGTATTCTATTCTTTCTAAAGAGAAGACAAAGTATGTGAATCAACTTTTTCACTTAAAGAAGATGATCATATTTTACTTTATGGAATTATGTAAGATGGATGTAGAGATTGCAGATCTTTTGAAGAAGATTTTTTTTGGCCTTTGCGATCAGCCAAGTGGCATGATGAGATGAGAGATGGACAAATTCAACAAGAACCAAGGGGTGTTGTTTACAAAACAATGGTTAACAAAGTGATGAAAAATTGTATGATGTACTTGCTAGATAAACATTGCTTCAAGACTACGACACTAAATAACATTCTTGCGAAAGCTGAGCTTTGCAAGATTAATCCGAAGAGCGAGATCAAGTTGGTGTGTGTGAGATGCCGAGGTGGTGGATTACAGTACGAATGGTGGTTCTGAATTTTTTTCCACAACAAATGAAGACTTCTTTCGCGACTCAACACAAAGAGGGAGATATGTAAGTCTTCGATAGCAAGTAACGTTTCATAGTTATGTACATAATGGTTACTTCTTAATAGTTTACTAAATGGCTTCTAGCCCAGCGGTATCCGGTGTTGCCCTCTTTTCTTGAGGTTAAGGGTTCAAGTCTCACAGTGGACATAGGTGGAATAATGTAGGTGTAGTTTAATATATTTGTCGTTTCAAAAAAAAATTCTTAATAGTTTGACAGTCTATCCAAGCCTAAGTGTCTTGACCTGATTGGTCATTTCCTAACCGACTCTCTGGGTTGTGAACCTATATAACGGGGAAGTTAGCTAAATAGAGAGAATATTTTTTTGCTAAAATCGTTTTGGAATCTATAATGAACTTTCTGGAATCTATAATGAACTTTCTGTACTCTAATCAAAACAATATCTTATTTACCTTCGTGTGTTGAATCTGATTACAACGAACTTTTTGTTCTCTAATCAAAACAAGATCTTATTTACCTTCGTGTGTTGAATCTCTCATTTACTCTTAGCCTGATTTCTATCTTCTAGAATCTATTCAATCTTAGATTGGGTCATGAAAGGGGCTTGGATTTTTTTTACTTACTAGAAACATATGAATCGACATGGAGATTTCCATTGGAAATCCATCAATAAAGGCCAACAAGACAAAAACTGAATTAGCAAAGGGCTTAGCAACGAAATTAGCTAGGGACATAGAAACAGAATTAGCAATGTATTAGTTTGTATCAACACACATTGAAATCCGGCTTTTGTCCCTAACCAGCCGCTGATTATTTGTAGATGCACGGTTTGTGTTGAACTTTATCATAGTACTAATGATATTTATTTTTATATAAAACAAAAAGTCATATTTTAAGACTCATTTTTCTTCTTTGGATGTAATCTTCAAAATCAACTGGCCTTGGGTTAACTAATTTTGGTCCGAAACATAATAATTCCAGGAACAGTTAATAAGCATCAGTTTTCTTTAGAAAAACCGGTTAAGGGACCGACTAAAGGGGTGGTCATGTTCACTAGAATCAGAAACATGCATCAAGCCAAACCAAAATTGACTATGACATGTACAAGACTTATTTGTCATGGATCTAATACCACATGCAAGTTATTAGAATCAGAAACATGCAGGCATCAAACCGAAATAACTCAATAAACATTCATTCATGTCTGTTCATATAATACAAAACCAAGTTTAGTTCCAAAAACCAAAAAGTTTATGTCATGCAAAAACAATACATATACAAACACAAGTGAAGAGTTTCAACGTGCCTACTTAGTACCTTGATGAGCATTAACACACATCTTTAAATACAACCGTTTCATTAAATTTGACAAACACACCTTACCTTACTGGCAACCGCTTTGAAACATATCAATGGTTTGCAACTGTAATGTGCTATTGATCTCATCATCTTCCCCTTACAACTTCATCAATTTCACTGTTTCAGAACATAACATAACATAACATGTTCAAATACTTTGTCATCATCATCATCATCATGATGTTGTTTGCCTTAAAACTTCAATATTGTTTCACAACATAACATATTCGATACTTTTTCATCATCATCTTCCCCTGTTCCAGAACATAACATATTCAATTTTACTCCGTCATCAACATACTCAAATACTTCCTCATCATCCATCTTCCCCTTAAAACTTCACCAGAAAAGTCAATCAATCTTCCAGCACAAATACAAAAAGTGCCATGTAAAAGATTTCATCTAACCTTTACCCATCCAAAAACCCTTCACCTAAGCAATGAAATTTTTTTGTCAAAATAGAAATTAACACTTGAATTCATTCTGAGATGTATAGGACATATTATGTAACATCAGCAACCAAGATCTTCAATTTTGTTGTTTGTTCCAACTTAGGGTTCGATTGGTGGGTGGGTATTATTTATCTATGTCCAGCTGTCGAGGTATACAGATAGATGGATGGATGGCTTGGAAAATAAAGTAAAGATCAAGATCCCCTGAGTACAGATAGATAGACCTTGGCTTCAAAGCAACTATTTCTCTACAGATACAACCTAAAGGAATGTTGTTCCAACATGTTTGACCTGGATCTAGTCAAACAATATTTCTAGAGTGAATGAAACTTGAGAAAATCAACAGACAGTTAGCCACTAGTGGCCAGTAAATTTGACAATTGTGGATCTTGAAAGAAAAAACCAAGTGCGATTGACTGTGTAACCTCCTAAACCTAATAAAACTAAAAACAGGTTGTTTGTTTAGTTGATTTTTTGAGTGGTGTGGGTGGGTGTGGGGGCTACCATTCAAATTCAGGGGTGGGGGTAGGGGTGGGGGATGTTGTCTCAGGAAGAGTAATAGTAACGGGGTGCCATCCAGATTGATGAGGTACGATCCACTTTTTTGCTGTGACAGCCAAGTTTAGAATCTGAAGTATATCACCCAAGGCAGTATCTTTTAGGCATGTATTCTTTATAATAGTAGCAGCATCGTATCTATTTATTTGCAAAACAACAACTTGTCAGATACCTTTCTACTTTCATTTCTTCATATTATTTACTATTTACAAAAATAACAAAATAAACATAACAGTAGACAATTAGACATCACCTGCATTGAGAAGCTGCAATTGCAGATCGACCAGAAGGAGTTGATAAATATTTCTCAAGTTCATCCCATGTAGCTTTGGAGTGATCTTTATAATTATTACCTATAGGGTTCACACACCTCCATAGTTTCTCCTTTTTACCAACAAAAAAAGGTAACTTCCCTAGATTCTGTTTCACTACCAGCTGCTGCTTCACAGCACTCTCTAACGCCTTTTTAACATCAATATTCCGCTGCTTTGAAATATTCCCATAACGAATGCAAAAAATAATATTCTCTTCAGTAGGCATAATCTTTTCACTTTTCAATGTACTCAAGGCAAGTAAAATCACCCCTATAAGCCCTTGCACGTATTCCGAAGGCTTCGGGCATCCAGGTGTCCCCCACACACCACTACCACTACTGTCCAATCCTGGTTGGACATCTGGACTTTTGTTCATCGACTTATTCCCCCTCTTTTGTGGGCTGTTTGTGTAATTCGGCGGCTCGCCAGAGTTTTGTTTCGGCTGCCCGGTCCCGTTCCCGCCACCCGATGGTGGTGGTTTAGTCATCAGAGGATGGTGGTCGGAAAAATTAAACTTAATAATATCAGGAGCAAATGGCGGTGTGGAGGAAGTAGAGGTGTATCCATTGGGCCTTGGCGGCATAAAATGAGGTGGAAAGAAACTTCCGGGGAGATTATTGGGCGGCTTTACTGGCGGTGGAGCATGAGGTTGGTAGCTAGTGTTGTTCCATGAATAATCCGGACCAATAGGAATGTGATTTGGGTTTGGTCCAGTTGTAGGGGTACTAGCGTAAATTTGCTCATGGGTCTGGTTTTCTAAAACCCCAATTGGTGGACTTAAAGTTCTTGAAATAACCGGTTGACTCTGGTTTTTCCTTAAAGGCTTCCCTTTTTGTTTACTATCATTTGATCTTCTTATTTCCAAACTTGCAAATTTCTGTAATCCCGGATGGGGGTTTGGATATATGTTGTTATCTAAAGGTTGATGCATCTGATTCTGAGTTGACTCAGGAAGCGGAGTATGTAGTGAGTTAGGAGTTGGAGTGTGGTTGTGGGTGGTATCAGGTGTGGGTGATTCACCGGTAGTTATTGGTGGACCTCCGGCCAAAAGACTGGTCCATAGCCATACACTTTTAGCAGCAGCAAGGAGGGATATGGAAGCTTTCTGAGGTTGAGCTAAAAGAATGTTGTATTTCCTCATTCTTAATTGATGTAATGCATTTGAGAAATCCCGGTCACCAGAAATTAACAGATAATTGCATGGGGCAGGGTTATCTACAGCCCAAAATAACATGTCTACCAATATTTTCTTGTCACTTGCATCTTTCACACCTGATCATTAAAAGAAAAAGTTTAATTAAGATAGGTGGGGACTATCATGTAAAGGGTTTAATGCAATAAAAATAGATTCAATATGTTCATTTGTGTACTTCCATAGTTTTCATACCCAACTTTGATCAGATTTAGAATATTCCCCCTTCATTCAAAAACAAATGCAATGTTTGATTTAATTGTATAATTTTACAACATAGTTTGATTGTACAAATAAGAGGAAAAAAAATGAACAAAACATATGAACCAAAATCAATGGCACCAATATCTTGTGGTGATTGCTGGCGATAAAAAAAAGTAAATTGAATGAAAAACTTAGCCTAAAATGCAAAAGAAAATCGTTGCAAATCATCTAGTGTATTAACAACCAACATGTTTTGGAAAAACAATGAAAATCAAAGGTATAAGATCAACCCTAAAAATCAACAATAATAACTTGCCAAAGCATAGTCATCTAAATCCAAGTATACAAAATTTAAAAAGATAATTTTGGAAAAGCAAATGATAACTACATTTTCTTTTAACATGAATCATTTAGAAGCATTAGAACTGTCAAATTTTTATTTGTTCAGATTAGATGACAAATATTAGTACAGACATCAACACTGACCACATGCTTCATCTACAAATTGCCAAAAAATACATCGAAAAGGCCTTTGGCACACTGAATCCACAGATCTAACCTTGAATTAAAACAAATAACCAATATCAGGGCTCATAAGCTCAATTCGCCATGATCCGTTCAGTGCAACACTCTAACTAAGAAAAGTCAACTTAAAAAACTATTTTTTCCTTTAATATTAGTATGTATTTGTAGAAATATAGTATACGTATACTTAATACTTCGTGTTAGGGTTTATGAACTCGGTTTTCAACACAATCTGATAATTTAAAGCAAGGAAAACAAACACAATTATCATTTCCAGTTGAAAATGATACTAGACTACGTTTCATAGAATTATGCATGTGATGTAATATGAGTATATACCGGCGGGCACGTGATTCAAGGCGATGCCGGTACTGTTGAGACCTTGCTGAACGGAGGCAGGGATCCGATTGGTGTCGCCGTAGGCGGATATCGATACTGGCCCACAGTAGTTCATATTAACTAAAGCAGAACTTATATTCTGAGCGATCGAATGAGGTTCACAGCCTTTAGGCACTTGACAGTTCTCTATGTCCCACCAGACCGATATCTTCGCCTTCGCGTACTGCTGTTCTGCTGCTCCTCCTGCCATCGTTGCAACACCGTTGTTTCCACCAGATCCGCTCATACAGTCGCCGGAACCTTAGATGGCGCACGATAGCAGACGACCCTTTTTTTTCCTTTTTTTTGTTTTTTCTTTATGTCTGAAAGTTTGAAGGTTAAGTGGATGAGAGAAGATCGTCTGTGCGAGAGGATTAGGATTTAGGAGAGAGGCGGACCATCTTAAAACCCATGGATCCCCACGTCAGACTACGTGTGAAATTACGGACATACCCCCAGTGGCTTTGGTGTGTACGACGGGGTCGTCCAGATCAATGATGCCTTGTCTTTCGGAAGAGTGTTGCCACGATACTTGCAATTACTGAAATGGCCCTGAAGATTCTTGGAGTGTTCGAGGGGTCGTCGTCCATCACGACCCTCGTCGACTTGGGCGAGACTTGGAAATTGGAATCAAATCCTTTTTCTTCGCAATGAAACAACGGCCATTTGATTTTAGGAAAACTTTACTCATACGTCTACAAATAAATGAATAATATATTTTTCATATTCGGGTAAATATATAAAAATCATGATTGATCTTTAATTTTTAGATCAGTTAAGGAATTTAAACTTGAGAAATTTTGTTAAATTAACATTATTACCCTTTAATTTTCGGGTAAATATATAAAAGTCATGATTCATCTTTGATCAATTAGGTCATTTAAACTTGATAAATCTTTTTAAATTAACATTATTACCCCATTAAATACAATGTTGTTGATTATGAGTTATTTTTTATGATCTATAAATGACATTATAATATGACACATAACATGTCTTATTATTATTATTATTATTAGGCTATGAGATATATCTCTAATCTCATAATATAAAAAATGATGTTACTTCATCGTCGTACCAACATCATTTCTCCACCACTTATCTTAGGAAATATTAACAACTTCATAATCTTAAAATAATTTATACCTCATTATTTATGTAATTAAAACAAATTATCTTAGATTAAAATAAAACCATTTAACTAATTAAAAAATACAAGACATTAATGATAGAAACACACAAAGTAGACAACATCAACAATTCTTTTATTGAAACTATATGAATCAGTTGGTTTGCAAGATACTTACAGAAGAAAAGCCTCACTATAACCCTCTAAAGTCTCAAACCTAGCTACTATGAACAAGGATTACAGAACACAAGTTATAGATTACAGAAGAAAACCCTAGACTGAAACCCTAACTTATAAGACACAACGAAAGAGAAAGTGTAAAACTGAATGTATGTGTAATCTGTGAACAAGACCCAAATACACATTATATATGATGGGTTACACACCGAGTATGGGTTATACCCACGTGTTTTATATCTCATCTTTAAAGAATGTGATCTGCAGTCCACTAGAATATGGGACTTGACATAAACTGCACTACCTGCAACAACCTTACAACCAAGAACATATAATAAGAAATAAATAATAAATAATAAAAAAGGATATAAGAAAAGGATATAAACTGTTGAACAATGACAAGTTTGAGAATGAGAGATATACATAATTCAACAACCCCCCCCCCCCTCCAAACTGATCATTGTTCTTTAAAAGGATCAATAAGACCCATTTTAGTACATAACTTTTCATGTTGACCAGAAACCAAGCCTTTAGTTAAAATGTCTAAAACATTTTCTTCTGAATCAATCTTTTCAACAGAAATGACTTTCCTTGAAACCTTCTCTCTAATAAAGTGAAACCTTCTGAATCAATCTTTTCAACAGAAATGACTTTCCACGAAATCAAATTATTCCCAAAAAAACAGTAAAGCCAATAACAGACCTTCGAGACACAAGGCACTTAGCCCATTCAGCATCCACATAACCCTTCAAGGATAAACAATCAGACTTAACAACACTAAAACCTTTACTGGGACTATTTTTCAAAAACAAAGTAATCTAAGAGATATTCTCAAATGGGATTTTTTAGGAGAATGCATAAACTGACTGAGGACCTGAACAGTATACGCAATGTCAGGCCTAGTAATGGTCAAATAAATCAACTTACCAATTAATTTTTGGAAATCAGTAATATTAGTTAATAAGCTATCAAGACTATCAACGCCATCAGACTTGATAACAACATTAGTTTCCAATGGTGTTTTAACAGGCTTGCAACCTGACATTCCAAATTCATGCAAAAGTTCCAAACAATATTTCCTTTTATGACAGACAAATCCCATTATTAATATTGATAATGTAACATCCCATTTAAAAAAGAATAATTAAAATAATAAACCCGGGACCCCGAGAGGTAATTTTATTATTATTTTATATTATTATAGCCCAAAATCCAATAATAATTAATGGAGTGTTGGTTTCAGGAAGCCAAATGGCATGATTTAGAGTTTCAGGGGTATTTAGTAAATTCTGGACCTAAGTTGAAAAGGTTTTGTGGAGGGAGGGGTTGCATGGTAATTATTGGGACTTAATTTAGATAGATTTTGGGAGGAAAGGATTAAATGGTAAATTTTGGATTCAATTTGTAAGGATTTTAGATGGCTGGGGTTGAAAAGGAAAAATAGGGATTTACTTTGAAAGAAAGGAGGGAAGGGAGGGACTAGACTTGTTATTATGGAAACTAGTTAAGGGGATCGGGGTATTTAAACCCGTCACCCCGCATCCCAACCCTAACCCTAAATGTTTAGCAGCCGCCACCTTCCTTCCTCCTCCAACCGCCGCTCTCGCCTCTTCGTCCTCCGGCACCGCGTCACCACCTCTGTTGAGGTCGTCAACCACCGGAAGCCACCGCCTAGCCTGTTTCCGATCCGCCAACGTGTCACAGCCCCTAGTTCCGGCGAGAACAAGTCGACGACGGGTTCCGGGTGTGCTCACTGCCGCCGTTACGCTCCATCAGTTGAAGACGAGGGCGCCGCTAGCCGGCTGTCAACGCTGCTTCGATCCGCGACGGCCTCCGCTCGTCTTCCTCACTGTTCTCCCGGTGTTATTTCTCAGCCGTGACCGCTGCTTCCGTATGGCCCAAGTTTGTCGTTTCGGTCGTCGTTTGCCACCCCGAGGGGTTGGTGTGTTCGTAGGTGTGGGCCTCTGTCGAGTAGGAGCCGTGAAGAACTACCATGGCAGCCGGCCATGGTGGCTGTCACCGCAATCCACTGGTGTGCCGCCTTTGCCGTCATTGGTGTTGTCGATGTCGTCGTTGTGAGCCACCATTGGGTGGCAGGGACCGTTTCTCAAGCCTTAAGTGTGGGTGTGTGTTCTGTTTGGTCGGAAAGCTAAGGAAAGGCCACCACTACCGTGAGGTGGTGGCTGCCACCATCTACCACCACCTGCCGCCACAGTGCGGTTGTGTGTGTGTGTGTGTGTTTTATTAGATTAGTGTGTGAGTGTGTTTCAGATTGGACTGTAAATTGTAATCGGTATAAAAATAATAATAGAAAAATCCATAACCACCACGGTGAGGTGGTGGCTGCCGCCTCCTGCCGCCACCGGCCGCCATGTCGGGTGGCGGTGTGCTTCGCCTTGGTGTGTTTGATTCGTCTGGGATGCATGAAACCCTAGTGGGCCCAATGAAGCCCTAATGGGCCCAAGGAAACGCGAATGGAGCTAATAAAACCCTAATGAGCCCAATGAGGCCCAAAGTGACCTAAAAACCCAACTAATTGACTAATGGGCTAGTATTGGGTAGGAAACCCTAATTAGGGTTTGGAAAACCCTAATTGCATAAAACCCTAATTCTTGAGAATTAATCGGCACACACATGAGATTATTTAATAACTTGAAATATTAAATAATAATTATTGGCAAATTAACCTAAGGCAATATTGGACTTAATGAATTAAGTCCTTAGGGGATTAAGTCCTTAATGGGTTAAGTAGGAACACTTAACCCTAGCCGTCATTTCATGTGAAAACCCTAATTTCACTTGGGCTTTGGCTTGGGCATTCCATTGGGCTTTGGTAATTGGGTCATTAATGGGCCATCCAAGAATGATCATATGGACTAGACTGTGTTGCTGGGCTTTAGGGTAAGGCACATATGAAGGTCTGGGCCCAATTTGGAAAATTGGGCCATAGATGGGCCATAATTGGACCTTTATGATTATGTGATATTCGGCCATGGGAATTGGACTGGAATAATTGGATGGGCCTTAAGGAAAGACCATGTAGAGGTGTGGGCCCAATTTGGAAAATTGGGCCATATGTTGGGTCGTGGCCCATTACTTGACTTTTGGGCTTTTGGAGTGTGAGTTGGACTTTGAGCTTGGAACCCAATTATTAATTGGGTATTGTTTGATGTTGACAGTTCGGGAATCTGTCAATCAGCAGCTGGAGTGTACCTGCGGGACTTCAGCAGTGCCAAGTAAGTTCTCCTCACTATATCAACAGGGTCTACGGCACCAAGGCCGGCCCTTTATGATTGCATCCTGGTTTTAGGATGTTGTTATGCTATGTAATCTATTAGATACGCATGATTATCTGTATATATGTTAGTGACCTGGTTAGGGCGGTATCCTGGTTATAGGATGTTGCTATGCTATGTGATCTGTTAGATCCGTATGATTATCTGTATATATATGATTATCTGTACATATGTTAGTGACCTGGTTAGGTCAGTATCCTGGGCATAGGATGATACTATGATATTTGATCTGTTAGATTGGTTGACTGTTATATATGCTAGCGTATGATACGTATGTGCACATGTTTGTTTGATTGGGGGTTTGGGTTGAGGCGGTCCTGCTTTGTGCTGAAGGCCAACATACCCAGGGCGGTCCGGATAGACTACAGACCCAGGAGGGTATGATAGTCAGACCGAAGGCCCGGCGAGCGGTCCGGATAGGCTGAAGGCCCTATGAAGCGGTCCAGACGTGTCGAAGGCTCGGAGAGCGGTCCAGATAGACTGAAGGCCTGCGAGGTGGTCCAGTCAGGCTGAAGGCTCATTATGCATGCTGCTCTGTAATTGTATTGATATGATATTTGTTCTGGTTAGTATGGGTTGGTATTTTGGGGGTAACTCACTAAGCCTTCGAGCTTACATTTATCGATTATTGTTTCAGGTATTCGGATGATCGCGGGAAGGCGAAGGCGTGATCGTGCACCTCCTTACATTTTCATGATTGATTTTGGGGATACTCTGATGTTTAAATTATTTTGAAAGTGAACTGTAATGACTTAATGGTTTTAAACGTTTTAAAA